GTAATTGCTGATAGAGCAAAACAATCCTGTTTTAAATTCGCTCATCATTGCTGCTACATTCTTATGATTAGTACCATATAATTTCACCACCTCCAGTCAACAGTCTAAACTAAGCTTTGACAGAGTATGATTTGTCAAAATGAATCTCAGCTTATATACATTTAATGTATTAAAAATAAATATCAGGTCATTACCTGATTGGTCAGATCTTAAATATCATTAAAACTTGTGCACATTTATTTTCTATATATATATATATATATATATATAGTGTGTGTTTGTGTCTACTGATAACTGAATATAATTGTTTCTCACTTGCATCCTGCACATTTTTAACATAAAAGTTGTTTATTAAAAGGAAGCTTAAAAGGAAGGCAAATGTCACATAAAACAATGAAACTGGGTATATCCTTACAGGAAATGTTTTATATACCAATGGATTATTACCTATATATATATATATAGGTTGAAAATAAATGAATGCAAGCTTTAGAACCATTATAATAAAAAGTAAGGAATTGTGAAAACAACAACATATATTTTGAAATAAATGGGCATGAAATGGAATTTATGAATATTCAACCCATATTCCATTGTTCCTCCATTTTGCTGCATAACCAAGGTTGCACTTTTGATCAAATTATTGAGGTGTGAGCTTTTAAGAAATGTCTCTCATTTGAAGGAATATCATGCAGTGTCTTTTTGGTTACAAACTTTTCTATCAGATTTAAATTGTTCCTTGTTTTATAAGCTCTCATCATTGCTACTACACTCTTATGATTAGTATAACTTCACAAGCTCCAGTCAACAGTCTAAAATAAGCTTTGACATGTTTTCCAAAGAATGATTTGTCAAAACCAATCTCAGTTTATATACATTTAATGTGTTACAAATAAATATCGGCCCATTACCTGATTGGTCAGATCTTAAACATCACTTGTGCACATTCATTTTCATTATATATATATATATATATATATATATATATATATATATATATATAGTGTGTATGTGTCTACTGATAGCTGAATATTATTGTTTCTCACTTGCTTCCCGCACATTTTTAACATAAAAGTTCTTTATTAAAAGGAAGCTTTGAAGAGCTATAACAGACAATATCCTAAGGCAAATGACACATAAAACAATGAAACATCCTTACAGGAAATGTTTTATATACCAATGATTTATTACCTACCTATATATATATAGGTACAAAATTTTTGTTTGTTTTTTTTGTATTTTTCTTCATACTGTCGGATCTATATCCATATATTTGCTTACATACTGTCTACTGGAAATACAAACCTGAATTTACTTTATAACATGGAAGACTTTAAGCTTGTGCGAAAATATAAGAATCTATTGATCAAATAAGGGAAAGGATTTATTATCGAACTGTTTTTAAATTGTTCCATCGTTCTGATATTTTGAAATCATTTTTGATTTGCTTTGTAACGTGGAGGACTTCAAAGCATGTATGAAGATATAAGAACCTATTGATCTCTGCGTATTCCTATATCAACAGAAGGGATTCTTGAAGTGTTTATATAAAATAGTTCAATCGACTTTTAATATTTTGATATTTGGAAATCATCTTGAATACGTTTTCACAACATCATGCGTGACGACGATGTGATCATATTTAAACGAACGCTGATCTTATATAAAATTTCAGTTATCTGTTTGGATTAGTTGTGCTCATATGTCCATCGTCTTTTTTTGTGTTGAATTTTTATATGTTCTAATGTTAATTATGTTTAAATGAAAATGTCCTGAAGATGGTTTAAAATAGACCGAAACGTCTGACGTTGACTTTATATTAACATTAATACAGCATAATTGCATATTAAGATTTTTGTTTGTTTTTTCTGTATATTTTTCTTCATATATATATATATATATATATGTGGAAAATAAAGGAATGCAAATTTTAAACCATTATAATAAAAAGTAAGGAATTGTGAAAACAACAACATATATTTTGAAATAAATGGGCATGAAATGGAATTTATGCATATTCAACCCATATTCCATTGTTCCTCCATTTTGCTGTATAACCAAAGTTGTATGATGATCAAATTATTGATTAAATAACTTGAGGTGTGAGCTCAGCTTCTAAAAAATGTCTCTCATTTGAAGGAATATCCTGTAGTGTCCCTTGTTTTATAAGCCCTTGTCATTACTGCTACATTCTCATGATTCACATAATATAGTTTCACAAGCTCCAGTCAACAGTCTAAACTAAGCTTTGATATGTTTTCCAGAGAATGATTTATCAAAACAAACCCCATCTTACATATATTTAATGTGTTACAAATAAATAACATGTCATTACCTGATTGGTCAATTTAAAAAAAAATTAAAACTTGTCCATATTTATTTTTACCCTGTATATCATGTTAGTTTTTCTGAACTGAATTCCTTTCTCAACTACCTTTGTGCCTCCACATTATTGACAGAATCATTGCTGCTTGCATTCATTGGCTTGAAAATATCCATACCATTTCTCAGGATGCATCAAGGCCATCTTTTTACTGTTATACATCGATATGAATTCTTTTATAAAACAAACATATTGAATATCTTTGTCCTTCTTAGTGTAATAATTTGTTTTCAATTACTTGCTGCACTCTGCATAGATGGAAAGAAATCAAATATGTAAGATATATCATAAAACATTGCTCTACATATATTTACAGTGGGAGGAAACAAATATTCGTACACATAACATTTTTAATTTATTGTATTTCCAACTAATGAATAAACATACTTTTCATATAATTAACTATACACAGATGCATAATGAATAAATATATATAGAAATCAGAAAAAATTTGATTTAATAGAAATAAATCCCATTTTTCCATTTTAATGGGTTTAAAAAGTATTCGTACAATACAATTTTCAAAATTTAAAACTTTTAAATTGCTCTAATACTCTAGATTATTCAAGTGGAATATTCTAGAATCTTCTAATAATATTATCAATAGTTATTCATAGCCTAAAAAATACAAACAGAATATTCTGTAATTGAGATTCATGCAAGAAGGTTATCATCATGGCAAGAGGTAAAGAAATGACAAATTCTCAAAAAGAACTGTTTGTTAAAGCTCTGGAAAGAAAGTAAAAGTTACAGAAAAATTTCAGACAACCTGAATATTCATTTTACTACATTATATTGCAAGGAATGAAAAACTTAAAATTTTTGAAAACCAAACAAGAACAGGTGCTTCATGGAAGATTTCTTCAAGGAAATTAATGCATCAAATTAAACAAAATCCAATGGTTACTCATCAAGAGTTGCAGTATGATTTACTTTCATCAAGAATCTGTCATTAAATGGACAATAAGCAATAAAATTCATAGGAATAATCTGCAGTCATGCTCCCCCCAGAAAAACTGAACTGCTATTGTAAAAACCCAGTAATGCCAGGTTGAAATTTGTTTGTGAACAAAAGCATAAGGAAAAATCGTATTGGGAAAGAGTATTATGGACAAACAAAACCAAAATTGAGTTGTTTGAACATAATTCTAGAAATCATGTATGAAGGAAAGATGGCAATACCTTCAAACAAAAGAACACAGTTCCAACAGTGAAATTTGGTGGTGGCAGCATCATGGTTTGGGGATATTTTTCTGCAAAAGGTACTGGCAACATATCAGTAAAAGATGGTAGAATGAATGCCACAGCATATCAAAATATTTTGGAAGTAAATTTAATGATTTCAGTTGAAAATCTTGAACTTCTTCCTGACTGGCTCTTCCAACAAGATAATGATTCTGAGCACACTGCAAAATTTACAAAGAAATGGCTTGCTGAAAATAATGTAAATATCCTGAAATGGTCAAGGTAGTCCCTAGATTTAAACCGAATCCAGAATCTGTGGCGTTATTTGAAAATTCAAGTTCAATCGAGAGCTCCAGCAAACATCCTGTATCTGAAGATCATATGCAAAGAAGAATGAAAAAAAATACCAACTAAAATCTGAAGATCATTAATGGAGAACGTCAAGAAGAGGTTGGTAGCTGTATAATTGAATAATGCCTAATCTACAAAGTATTAAATGAAGTTTATGTAGTCTTTTTTTGTATTGTACAAATACTTTTTTCACTCATTAAAATGGATAAATGGGATTTATTTCTTTTAAATAATTTTTTCAGTTTTTTATGCATATTTAGTTATCATGCATCTGTGTACAGTTAATTATATGAAAAGTATGTTTATTCATTAGTTGAAAATACAATAAATTAAAAATTTATATGCGTACAAATATTTGTTTCCCTCCACTATATATATATATGTGTGTGTATGTGCATGTGTGTATCTATTTACATGTTATATATATATATATATATATATATATTAATCCTACGCAAAACTAGGTATGGGTAGACGAAGGAGGATGATATCAGAAAGTCGCTCAATGTAATTTTTTCATTTCAACTTTTTGGAAGAAAAGTCTGATGATCAGAGCCCTTATATGTGGTGAAATTTATTACATGGAACCTTAAAGTGGTCTTTTTTATTTAAAAAAATATATATATATATATATATATTATATATATATATATATATAATATATATATATATATATATATATATATATATATATATATATTATATATATTATATATATAATATATATAATATATATATATATATATATATATATTATATATATATATATATGTACATGAGAAAATTATATATATATAAATATTGTGAATATATAATATATATTATATATATATATAAAAATTTATATATATTTTTTTATATTATATATATATATATAAAAGAATATATTATATATATATATATATATATATATTATAAATTATATATAGACATATATATATATTATATATTATATATATTTTATATATATATATATATATATATTATATATATATCCTATAATTATATATATATATTATATATATATATATAATATATTTCATATTATATATGATATATATATATATATATATATACACAT